ATACTCGTTTGCACATTTAAAAAAATTTTTACTGATGACGTAACATACTCGCAGTTAAAGTTTTTAATTGATTTTAATGATGATGATGATGATGAAAGACTAATAACCTAAAGGTAAAACCGGCGCTAGGCTTCCACTCCTCTCTCTCTCTCTCTCTCTCTCTCTCACACATGTTATTTAAATACAATTTATTGTTTCTGTTTTTATAGAAATTTCTTTGGTATTTGTTTTTTGCCTTTTCCAGAACATTCTCTTTAGTTCTTTCTAACACTTTCCCTTTTTTCACATATGTGTGTGTGATGATCGACCTTGTTGTCCATCCATGTAGGCTCGGCATTATGTTTAATATGATATCAAGGCCGAGTCCCATATATATCGTCGCGTTATTGTTCATTTAAAAAAAAATTATGTTGCAATCCCGGTAAATTTTTTCTACTTCTTTTGAATGCAATTTTTTTTTTTTTTAGAATTTTAACAAACAAACAAACAAACTTTTGAAATATTGATTTGTTTGTTTGTTTGTTTGGAGGCGATGGGATTTTTTTCATTCATCGCAATTAAAATGAGTTTTTAAGGAATTTTTTTTTTTTTTCAACAAGTTATTTTCTCGTGACTAATTGTAAAAAAAAAAAATTATTACTTAATTTTTAGATATCTTTCTTTATTTTATTATTATTATTATTATTATTATTATTATTATTATTATTATTATTATTATTATTATTATTATTATTATTGTTGTTGTTGTTGTTGTTGTTAACAAAAACGTATTGCTTACGCATTACGACGTACGTTTAAACAACTTATCGAAAAAGGAAGTTTGTTTTTTTATTATTTTTTTTTAGTCTTCTTTCTTTCTTTCTTTCTTTCTTTCTTTTTGTTTCTCCCTTTCTTTTTTCATCATCATCATCATCATCATGTTTTTTTTTTTTTTTTCCGTGAAACCCGTTTTCACTTGTTTTTGATTTAAAAAATTATTTTGTTTTTTTTTTAATCATGTTCTTCATCATAAAAAATAATTTTTGTTAATTATCTGATACGTTCCCGTTCACTAGATTTGCACGAGATATCATAAAATTACTACTCGTGGAAAGTAGTAGTCGTTTTTTAACTTCCGCCATTTTAAAAAAAAAAATTCACTTTCACGAATAAAATGTTGTTTTTTTTTTTTTTTTGGTTCTTTAAAAATGGATCCGACATTTTTTTTTCTTTTTACCAAAAAAAATTGTATTCCACAAATTTTAAGGCATTATATCAATTAACAACATTTAAATATCCGGGAGTGAGAGTCGTCCTTGTTGTTTATTTTCCGACCGGTTATTTTCGCCATTTTTTTTATTATTATTATTTACTCTCACTTTTTTCTTTTTTTTGTTACTCTATGACATCCTAAATATTCATAATAAATTTTATTAAATTATCATTATTATTATTAATATTGCCGGTTAGTCGTTGAGTCTGGTTTAAATAAATGAATCACCGCCATATAACAAATAATAATAATAATTAGAGTACAAAGTTCGAACAATCGAGAGTATGACTCTCTCTCTCTCTCTTTGTTTGTTAGTAAAGTTAATAAATAAATAAATATTCTTTTTTCTTTTTCTATTAGCTGCCTCCGCGTAAAAACAGAAGCACAAAAGATTTTGATAAAAAAACGTTTTTAAAAACTCGTGTGTGTGACCTTTGTGCTTGTTAAAATCAAAAAACTTAATTATTATGCCCTACATAATGTTTAATAAAAACGATATCTCTCTCTCTCTCTCTCTCTCTTACAAAATTATTATTATTATTATATATATATATATATACGTACGATGATAAAAAAAAAAAAAAACATTTTATTATTATTCGCGTTCGATAATGACGTCATAGGAATCAAGGTATTACAACGTATAATTTTTTAAGTGATTTTGAAACGTTTTTTTTTTTTTTACGAACAAACAAACAAACAAACAAACGACATTGAATGCAATGCCGGCCGGTATTTTTTTTTTATTTCTTAATTCTTTTTTTTAATTTTTAAAAATTGATTAATGAAACGAAAACAAATTTTTTTTTTTTTTTTTTCGTATTGAAAATCAGCGAATGGGAAAAAAAAACTAAATTAAATTTGTTGTTGTTGTTTGTTGTCTGTTGTCGTCTGTTGTTCGTGTTGTTTGTACCTTTTTATTTTTTATAATAATATCATTTTTGTTTTTTGGGATTTTTTTTTTACAAAAGACTTTGAACTTTCGATAAAATCGCCATTATTATTATTATTAGTATTATTATTATTATTTTCCGCGAGGTATTTGTTTTTTTTTTTTTTTTTTTCATAGGTTTCCCTGTCGATTTCGGTTAAAATCCTCTAAAGACATTTACTTTATTAACCATTCGATCCTCTAATAAATAAAAAAAAAAAAAAAAAATTTGGCCTTGTGCTACATTTTCAATACAGATACACACACGCACAGAGAGTGTATGTAAATGCCTACTTTCAATTATCATTATTATTATTATTATTATTATTATTATTATTATTATTATTATTATTATTATTATTATTTTTCTACTTATAAAATAATTTTTTTTTTTTACCTGCATTTCTACCGCAGTAGTAGTAGTAGTAGGAGGAGGAGGAGCATAACAATTAATTTTTTTTTTTTTTTTTTAAATCTTCGAATTTCACATTATTATTATTATTATTATTATTATTATTATTATTATTATTATTATTATTATTATTATTATTATTATTATTATTATTATTATTATTATTATTATTATTATTATTATTATTATTA